TTATCTCTTATGCATGTGCTGCTATGCTTGGTGTGGCGGTATGTGACTTGGGGTTGAGACTGCTAGTGTTGACGCCCACTTCTGCTTCGGTGGTTGATTTTGAGCTGTGTGCTGGCTGTCCTATTGTGGTGAATGAGAAGAGTTATAAGGTGAACTTGATTTGTTTGCCTTTGGTGAATATTGACATAATCTTAGGGATGGATCGGTTATTTGCCAATCGCATCCTTATAGATTGTGCTAATAGACGGTTGATCTTTCCTCAGGTGGAGGAGGAGATGTTGATTTTAGCTGGCCAAGCTGAATCATTGTTGAGAGATGGAGCAAAGTGTTGTCTTCTGCTTGTTGCCATGAGTGTGGAGACCGAGAGGCTCATTGCTGATATAGATGTGGTGAGGGATTTTGTTGAGGTGTTCCCGAATGAGGTGCCTGGGTTGCCTCCTACTAGGGAGATGGAGTTCAGCATTGACTTGGTTCCAGGTACGGGATTAGTGTCGGTGGCTCCCTATAGGATGGCCTCAGTTGAGCTGGTGGAGCTGAAAGGTCAGTTGGATGACTTATTGGAAAAGTAGTTGGTGCAGCCGAGTGTATCGCCGTGGGGTGCTCCCGTGTTGTTGGTGAAGAAGAAGGATGGAGGTAGTCGACTGTGTGTTGATTACCGACAGTTGAACAAGTTGACCATTAAGAACAAATATCCACTTCGCCGGATAGATGACCTGATGGATCAACTGAAAGGAGCATCATTTTTCTCGAAGATTGACTTGAGGTCAGGATATCACTAGATCAGGGTGAAGGAGGGTGACATACCTAAGATCGCTTTCAGGACTAGGTATGGTCACTATGAGTATGTTGTGATGCCGTTTGGTGTGACCAACGCCCTGGAAGTGTTCATGGATTACATGAACAGGATCTTTCGGCCCTTCTTGGATAAATTTGTGGTGGTATTCATTGACGACATCCTGATTTATTCAAGGACCTCGGAGGAGCACGGAGAGCACTTGAGGTTGGTGCTGGAGATTTTGAAGGCGAAGTAGTTGTACGCCAAGCTTTCAAAATGTGAGTTCTGGTTGGAAGAGGTGAAGTTCTTGGGACATGTTATTTCAGCTGAGGGGATTGCTGTTGATCCGGCTAAGGTGGAGTCGTTATTGCAGTGGGAGCGTCCAAGAACTGTCACTGATATTCAGAGTTTTGTGGGTCTAGCGGGTTACTATAGGAGATTCATTGAGGGATTCTCCAAGATAGTAGCGCCTCTAACCCAGTTGACTAGAAAGGAGCAGTCGTTCATTTGGACAAATGTTTGTGAGCAGAGTTTTGATGAGCTGAAGAGGAGGTTGACTACTTCTCCTGTGCTGGTGTTGCCCGATTCTGGTGAGCCCTTTGATGTGTATTGTGATGCTTCTCACCAGGGTTTGAGGTGTGTGCTGATGCAAAACAGGAAAGTAGTGGCATATGCTTCAAGACAACTGAAGAACCATCAGAGGAATTATCCTACTCATGACTTGGAGTTAGCAGCAGTTGTGTTTGCCTTGAAGATATGGAGGCATTATTTATATGGTGCTCGGTTCAACGTCTTCAGTGATCACAAGAGTCTAAAGTACTTATTTGATCAGAAAGAGCTGAACATGAGGCAGAGGCAGTGGATGGAGTTTTTGAAGGATTATGACTTCCAGTTGATGTATCATCCTAGGAAGGCCAATGTTGTGGCAGATGCGCTGAGTATGAAATCCATCCACATGTCTGGTATGATGGTGAGAGAGCTGGAGCTGGTAGAGGAGTTCAGAGATCTGAATCTCTGTGTGGAGCTAGCTTAGGATCACATTAGTTGTGGGATGATTACTATAACTAGTGAGTTCTTGAGGCCGGTTGGACTGAAACAGTTGCAAGATGTTGAGCTGGTGAAGCTTCTTGGTTTGCTGGGTACTGAAAAGGCTGTTGGTTTTGAGCTGGGCGGAGATGGGATCTTGAGGTTTAAGGGCAGAATTTGCCTACCTCATGATGCTGAGCTGAAGAGAGCTGTGTTGGAGGAAGGCCACAAGAGTAGACTTAGCATACATCCTGGTATGACTAAGATGTACCAAGACCTCAAGAAGACTTTCTGGTGGTCTGGTATGAAGAGGGAGATAGCTGAATATGTGGTAGCCTGTCTGACCTGTTAGAAGGCGAAGGTGGAACATCAAAAGCTGAGTGGCTTGATGTAGCAGATGGAGATTCTAGAATGGAAGTGGGATAGTATCACTATGGACTTCATTGTGGGGTTTCCTAGGTCAGCTAGGAATAGTGGTGCTATCTAGGTGATTGTTGGTCGGTTGACCAAGTCTGCACATTTCTTGCCTGTCAACATCAAGTGGTCCTTGGAGAAGCTGACACAGTTGTATGCGAGGGAAATAGTACGGTTGCACGGGGTGCCTTCCAGTGTTATTTCAGACAGAAATCTGAGGTTCACTTCCAGATTTTGGCAGAGTCTACATCAAGCCTTAGGCACGAAGCTGAAGTTGAGTTCTGCTTATCATCCGCAGACAGATGGTCAGTCAGAGAGGACAATCCAGTCCTTGGAGGATTTGCTGAAGGCTTATGTGTTAGACCACTTAGGAAACTGGGAGGAAGTCCTACCGCTAGTTGAGTTTACTTACAATAATAGCTTCCATGCTAGTATTGGGATGGCGCTGTTTGAAGCCTTGTATGGCAGAAGATGTAGGACTCCTCTATGCTGGTATCAAGATGGTGAGTCAGTGGTTATGGGACCGGAGCTGATCCTACAGACTACTGAGAAGGTGAAGCTGATTCAGGAGAGGATAAAGACTGCTCAGAGTAGGCATAAATCCTATGCTAACAAAAGGCGGAAGCCTTTGGAATTTGTCGAAGGGTAGCATGTGTTTTTGAAGGTGACCCTGACCTCTGGTGTGGGCAGAGCGCTGAAGGCAAGGAAGCTGACACCTAGGTTTGTTGGTCCCTATCAGATCATACAACGTGTGGGTCTGATTGCCTATCGGTTGGCCTTGCCACCGTCTCTCTCAAACCTACACGATGTATTTCATGTATCGTAGCTAAGGATGTATGTCCATGACCCTGGTCATGTGGTTGAGTTGGATGATGTGCGGGTGAAGGAGAATTTGACGTTTGAGATGTCGCCGGTAGCTGTGGTTGATCATAAGCTGAAGGAGCTGAGGGGCAAGTCCATTGCTATGGTGAAGGTGTTGTGGGATGCAGCTACTGGTGAGGCTACTAGGAAAGTGGAGCAGCAGTGCAGGGAGCGGTACCCTTTTCTATTCCCAAGTAAGTATGTTTTTGCGGATTTTCTTCTTCTTCCATTTTCTTCTCTTCCCGGAGGTCGGAATCTTCATATCGAGGTAAGGGAAGCTAGGATTCTTGCTGGTTGTTTGATTTAGTGAGTTAGAAACTCGCGAATTTGCTGCTTTTTGAAGATTTTAAGCTGTTTTGAGGAAAATTCGTTTTCGGGGTTTTGGGTGAAATCTGGGGATTTTGATGATTTGTGGGTGCATGCTGAAAATGAGGTATTTTCTTGTTGTTAGATGAAAATGTGGAGTTTTGGGCCGATTGCATGTGTTTGAGCTGTTGATCTTTGCAGGTTTTTGAAGAAATTTTTGAACTTGGTGAGTTGCTGCTTGGTATCACGCCGGGCGCAATTCTTGGCACCGGGCGCGTGACCACCAGAGGGCTCCATTGGGCAAGCCTACCGGGCGTAAGGTTGTGTGCGCCGGGCGAGCTTGATAATGGGAGCCTCTGGATGGCCCACGTCGGGCGTGGTTGGACCGCTCTGGGCGCAATATTAGTGAGTAACAAAGCTTTTTGGGATTCTGGTGTGGCGTCGGGCGTGACTACGTCTCGCCGGGCGCAATTGGTATTGCGCTAGGCATGAGACCTTGGGGAGGTCTCTGCTTACCTTGCGCCGAGCGCGGGTTTGGCACGCCGGGCGTGTGAGACTCTTTGGAGTCTCTGTCTCCTAGCACGTCGGGCGCAATTGAAATTGCGCTAGGCGCGTTTGAGCCCTAGTGCTCTCTAGTTATGCTGTGCTGCATGCTGACATAAACTGTTGTAGGCCGTAAGGCTGAACTGTTGTAGGCTGTAAGACTGAGCTGTTGTAAGCCGTAAGACTGAGCTGTTGTAGGCCGTAAGATTGAGCTGTTGTAGGAGATCTCCGAGCTGATATGCGTGACGACGCATTATTTGTTTACTACTGTTATTGCTGCATGATGTGAGATATATGTTGTGATATATTATATGCTGATGTTGCTAAATTAGATGATATGCTGATAGCTATAGCTGATTATAATTCTTGTAATTATATGTGTATAAGTTGATTCTTTTCACTAGCTTACCCTTTGTTGTTTTCATGTGGTTTGGACTGCAATGATCATACTGTGTATGGGAGCAGAGCAGGATTAGGTTGGTGTCTTGAGGCGGGTCTGCAGCTGGCAGATGGAGTTTATTCTTTTGTTGTTTTTATCTACTTAGTGTAGCTATTGGGCTGTATTTTGTATACTCTGATTTTAAAGCCTCAGATTAGACCTTGTGTATATATTTTAGCTGCTTATATATATGTCTGCTCTTTTCTGTGTGGTGTTGTGGTTTTGTAAGCCGGGTGATGACCAGGCGGGTCGTTACAGATTCTAACAAAAATAATTTTTAATCAAATTTTACTTATCTTTCGACTAAATCAAATTAGTTTAAGAGGAAACCTTAGAATATGATTCCATTAAGAAAAAAAAAGACCGAGTCTATTTCTTGATATGATGAAGGGTGCCGGCCAAAACACTAATTAATTGTAGTTTTGAAATTAAAGTCCACTTGTGTGTGGCTAAACAAGTCCAACTTTCACACTAGGAAAATGCTTATCCAACCAGTACAACGCGTTTCATGCACTTGAATGCATTGCTTCTGCTTAAATTAGTTGTTTTATATCTATTTAGATGTGACATTAATCTTTTTTTTAATAGAAATCTATCAATAATACAAAGCTGAGCGTGAGTGAAAGAGTCATCACATAGAAAGTAAGATCAAAACGAAATTGCTTCTTCCTTCTATTGAAATATTGCAGGTCCATGTTGGTTATTGCTTTACATATATGAGCAATAGTTAAATCCGATCCTAGCAAGCAAAGCATCACTTGGTGTAAAATCATTCGAGGTCGGTAATTGCTTTACAGTGATATTTTCATTTTGGGTCAAAGATAAGGTGAAGAAGAATGAAATTGAAAAGTATATGATAAGTAGATAAATTTTCTTATTTGATATCCTCCTCCTATTTCTTCTTTTGGCTAAAAGCGTAACATGTCAAGGTTCTGTATTTTAACTTTGATATATATATATATATTTTTTTTTTCTGGCTAATTTCTTTTTTCTTTCCAGTTACCTTTTGCTGTGATTTTCAAGATTGCATAGACAAAGAGCGATACAGACTTTGTAGTTTGTACCAACTGAATGGAACATTCTTCTTCCAGAGCTTCTCAAATAAAATATGTTGTTTTTCTATGTCTCTTGTTGAAGGGTGTAGCATCACAGGAAATGTCAGATAACGTTCCCCAAATAAAATATGATGTTTTTGTTAGCTTTAGGGGCGAGGACATTCGTGACGGTTTTCTTGCTCATTTGACGGAGGCTTTTCATCAAAAGCAAATATCTGCCTTTGTAGATGATAAACTTGAGAAGGGAGATGAAATATGGCCATCTCTTGTTTCAGCAATTCAAGGATCATTGATTTCGTTGATCGTATTCTCTGGAAACTATTCCTCTTCACGTTGGTGTTTGGAAGAACTTGTGAAAATACTTGAGTGCAGGGAGAAATATGGACAGATTGTAATACCTATTTTCTACCATGTATATCCTACAGATGTACGGCATCAAAAGGGGAGTTATGAAAATGCACTTGTTGAACATGAAAAAAGATATAATTCGACAATGGTTCAAAGCTGGAGACATGCATTGAAGAAAGCTGCTGATTTATCAGGACTAAAGTCATTTGATTACAAGTAAGATCACCACAATCAAAACTCTATTTTTTCCGCGGTTTATTTGCTATCATATAACATATATTATCACAAGTTGGTTGCTAGTGAAAAGATTGACCTTAATATTGACAACATGCAACTAGCTCATACTAATCAATTCCTGTATATAAAATATAAATATTTATATATAATGACGGATCCAGAAAATTTATTAAGTAAGACAATAAAATATTTTATGTCCTTTTTACTAAAAAAATTTAATAATTTTTTGAAAAAAATATATTTTTATGATAAAAATATATTTTTATGATAAAAATTTAAAATACCTTATTAATAAATTAAAATTGTTTTATAAATAGAGTGATAATTTTTTCTTTTTCTTTTTCTGTTTGATATTATGTTTAAATATTATTTTATAATTTTTGTGACTTATTTAATATTAAAGGAATAAAATGATAAAAACTAATAAAATAAAAACAATAAAATTATTAATTTGTTTTCTTGTAGTTTTCTAAATTTCTACACTCATTTAAAACAAAAATATTTTATGAGTGTAATGTCTATTTTTTTTTTATAAGAATAAATGTCTTTATTTAAATATGTTTAAGTTAAAAAAAAAACTGTCTGACAATTACTTTCATTCCTCTTAATATGAATTGTCTCCTACCAACATACAATATATATATATATATATACATGATCAAATAAATTAAAAATAAAATAAAATTGAAAAATAACCTACATCAGTAAACTAAATTATGACACATTTAATGAGTAAAGAAATAATAACTCTTTTAGGAAAAAAAAATAGTATATTATAATAATAGTAATAAATAAGAAGGAATTTACTTATTTCAAGAATAAATTTTGATATACTTACTCCACTTAATAATTCATGTTTCACATTAAGTATTCAACCGTTCAATTAAAAGTCTTTAATGTATAGATCAAATTTATAAAATTTTTAAAAACTTAAAAATTATTTGATACTTTGTTTCATTAATTTATATTGATGAATAATCATTAAAAAATATTTTATATGTTATTTTGAATCTATCTAACGAAGTATCATATGATTTTTATTTTTATTTTTTTAAAAATTTGTAAACTTGATCTATATATTAAAAATTTTTAATTTAATAATTAAATTTTTAAAAATTTGATATAAAACATTAATTATTGAAAAAAGTAAATCTATCAAGATTTACTTTTAGAATAAATAAATTTTTTCCTCATAAAATATTTAGATAACTTTATCACAGAGTAAAAGTAATTAAATAATGAAATAAAATATCGATATATTTTATTATATTCTACCGTATACTTGCATCCATCATTGTTTATATATATTTAAATATAATATTCATTTGTGTATATAATTTATTATAAATTTAAGTTATATATAATATATACTAGTTAAGATTTAAATTGCACAAGCCTGACTACAATTTAATGGTTAAATTAGAGTTGAGTATTATAAGTTCTTAGCACTGAAAATGCTTGCTGATAAACTTGAATGATATTGATCCAATCGCTTATTTGGGAATTGAGTGATTAGTGTTAGCTAGCACGATGACTGACGAATTTCTACACCAACACAATTACATACATTCTAATTTCCAAAACACCTTATTAATGTCTACTCTAGCTAAATCTAGTTTGTTGAGGTGGATAGAGAAGAGATAGATCTGAAAGTAATTGATTTTTAGTTTCTCACCTGGTAGCCCTTATACCAACCCCTTAGGGTGGTTCCAACCTTGAAGTGCCTTGTTTGGCAAAGTTAGAGAATATCATGTGTATCGCCACCTCTCGCCAACTGTGTTAGAGTCGACTTCAGCGGTTGACTTAGGCTGTCACACTCGCTATGTGTGCATATTGAACTGTCATGTCAGGTAACATTTTCTCTTATCAATAGAAGACTATTTAACTATCCCATGGCAGCTAAGTATCATTTAGAACCTTATCGCTCATTCTTCCTATCAGAGTGTTTGTAGGCTGCCATCATCAGTTCACTTCTCTGTTGCACAACATTGATAAAATATTGTTTTCGCCTTATCCAAGTGAAGTCTTCCTTGTAGTTCTAGATCAAACATTGGCATTATCTTTGAGAATCTCTTCTCCTACCAACCTTTCTTTTGTAACACTTTTCCAACAAACTAATAACATCTAACTAATATTTCTAACAAACTTCTCTTAATATAAATAAAATATATAAACTTGTTTTCATGCTCATAAGAGATATTAAATAAAATAATAATAATAAACAGTGTGTTTCACTTTCAATCTCTAATTTTGTTGTACAGGGCTGAAGTTAAGTTTCTTGGAGAAATCATCAACATTGTCAATCTTATGTTGATGAGGTTAGATAAGAATCCACTTAACTCAAAAAGATTTATAGGAATCAACAGGTCAATTCAATGTTTAGAATCAATGTTACATCATGAGTCAGAAAATGCTCGTGTTATTGGAATTTGGGGTATGGCCGGTATTGGAAAAACAACCATTGCAGAAGAAATATTTAGCAGACTATATTCTGAATATGATAGTTATTATTTTTTGGAAAATATAATGGAAGAATCAAGAAGACAAGGAACAATTTCTTTGAAGGAGAACCTTTTTTCTGCACTACTAGGAGAAGATGTGAAAATTAACACAGCAAAAGGATTGCCAAATTATATTAAGAGAAGAATTGGTCGTATGAAGGTTCTAATTGTTCTTGATGATGTGAATGATTCAAATCTTCTAGAAAAACTACTTGGAAATCCTGATTGGTATGGACCAGGTAGTGGAATCATTATAACAACTAGAGACAAGCAAGTTCTTATTGCTAATGAAGTTAATTATATATACAAAGTTGAGGCGTTAAATTTTTGTGAAGCACTTGAGCTTTTTAGTTTGTATGCCTTTCGCCAGAATCATTTTGATGTGGAGTATTATAAACTATCCAAGAGGCTAATCAACTATGCGCAAGGCGTTCCACTAGTTCTTAAAGTTTTGGGTCATCTTCTACGTGGAAAAGACAAGGAAGTATGGGAAAGTCAACTAGATAAACTTCAAAATATGCCAAATACAGATGTTTACCATGCAATGAGATTGAGTTATGATGATCTAGATCGCAGGGAACAAAAGATTTTTTTAGACCTTGCTTGTTTCTTCACAGGATTGAAATTGAAACTGAACCACATAAAAGTTTTATTGAAAGATAATGAAAGAGATAATTCGGTGGCTATTGGATTAGAAAGGTTGAAAGATAAAGCTCTTATAGCCATTACTAAAGATAATTTTGTATGCATGCATAATATCATACAAGAAATGGGTTGGGAGATTGTTCGACAAGAATCTATTGAAAATCCTGGAAGTCGTAGCCGATTAAGGGATCCTGATGACATTTATGAAGTATTAAAAAATAATAAGGTAAAAGCTTATATTAAATATAACATGTTTTTCTTATACATTTGAACTATATGTGGGAAATGTGGCTTCTAATCATGTTTAAAATTTTTGTTTTACTATAATTAATGGCAGGGAACTGAGTCCATAAGAAGCATAAGGGCTGACTTGTCGGTAACGAGGAAGCTGAAGTTAAGCCCTGACATGTTTACTAAGATGAGCAAACTGCGATTTTTGTTTTTACCTAGTGAATGTGATCAAGATGGCTTTGATCTTCTTCCTCACGGGCTTCAATCTTTTCCAGTTGAGCTAAGATTTCTTGTTTGGACGCATTACCCTTTGAAATCCTTGCCACAGAGCTTTTCTGCCGAAAACCTTGTTGTGTTGGACTTGTCATATAGCCACATTGAGAAACTTTGGGATGGTGGAGAGCAGGTAAACACATCTTCATGTTATAATTATCTCCTAATTCATAAACTACAAAATAAACAACTTAAGCTCACGTGTGATGTCTTCATCTGTATTATTTTGTTGTAGAATTTGAAGAGTTTAAGAGACGTTAGAGTCTACGGTTCTAAAAACTTGAAGGAGCTGCCAGACCTTTCAAAAGCCTCAAATCTTGAAGTATTGGATATCGGTGATTGTCCTCAGTTGATTAGTGTGACTCCATCTATTCTCTCTCTCAACAAGCTCAAGATATTGAAGCTGGATTATAATCCCTTTACCAAAATTATAATTGATGACAATTTGGGCTCCCTTAGTTATTTTTCCCTTATAGGGTCTAAGAAACTGAGAAAATTTTATTCAGTGAAATCAGAGAATATGATTGATGACATGCATATATCATGCACTTGTTTCAATGCATTACCCTCAACTTTTGTATGTGAAAGCCAACTTGAAACGTTAAGGATAACAAAAAGTGACAACGAGTGCTTGTCTTCAAGATTCAAGAATCTTAGAAGACAGCGATACTTGAAAGTTGCAAATCCCGAGGATCTTTCAATGATAGAGAGTGGTACTCTAGATGTCATAGATTGCAAATCATTGAAGAATGAATTGTTTTCATCAATTGATGAACAATTTAAGGAAAATACAAGTTACGTTGGCATTCAAAATTATGAAGGATTTGTCGGAGAATCAGTATTGGTGGCATTAGATGCAATTTCACCAAGAACTGAAACGCTACTCGATGACTCAGAACTTAGTGACGTCTTTTGTTGGCAAATTGAAGAAGATCAATTAGTTGAATTGGAAAAAGATTCAATGAAGTACTGAGTCCTTGGCAATGGTTTGAGGAAGGTTCAACTTCGAGAAAAAGAGAGTAGGCAGTTACATGTGACATGCAAATAAAGATAGATGTCCGTTATTTTGTTATGTCTTGTACATTTGTACCACATTTGTTAGGTCCAAAAGAATTACATCAAATCTATATTGGATGAAAGATTTCTTTTAATTTGGCACACTCATTTATCATGCAATGATGTCATGGACTCAACTCATAATGCATGCATGTGGGGTCAGTCACGTGTCTCATAATCACATATCACGTGGTATGTTGTCGAAGCAACATACCTGGAGTAGTCTAGGAGTACATGCCGGCTCAACCCTATGCTTAGGAAAATCCAATTCCGATTACTAATGATGATTTTTTTAGTATAACACTACTATAATTTCTTTTATTACGAGCAATTTTTCTTGCGAATTTTGTATTAAAATATGCAACAAATATTATTTCAACGAATTTTTTCTGCGAAATTTTATCTGTAGGTAATACCTTCGTGGATAATATGTTTTTGCGAATTTTAAGATTTGCAAGAAATTTTACTGCAAAATTTCTTGTGAAAAAAATTTGCAGGAAAAGTTTCTTGCAAATTTTTCGTAAGAAATTCTGTAAGAATATTTTTTACAAAAAAATTAAAAAAATTACTATAAATTCTATTAATAATTCTTCAACTTTCAAATTGTGACACCCTCTACCCCATCACAATATACAATAATTGTAAGATAAATTAGAATGAATAAAAACTTTCACAATTAGATAAGTCTCCATTAACAAAGAGGTAAAGGTTTCACATTCGCATACATAATCATAATCACTTGTGGAAAATAAAGTTAAAGGTTTTCCAAAACAAAAGAAAGAAACTAAAATCCTAAACTAGTCCTAACTATGCCCCGATGTCACATATCTTATCAGAGGATGCCCAACTAAAGTCTAAGCCTCATCACCAACATCCTCATGCTGATATTCACCTGCAACACAATTTAAACACATACAAAGAACAACAAGGGAGTGAGAAACATCTCACTCAGGTTTAGGTGCAGAAATAAATTAAGGTTAGACATCACACACAACAAATATAATACAAGTCACAAGCACCAATCACATATAAACAATACACATACACAATTAGTATCACATGCACACTCATTTATCATGCAATGATGTCATGGACTCAACTCATAATGCATGCATGTGGGGTCAGTCACGTGTCTCATAATCACATATCACGTGGTATGTTGTCGAAGCAACATACCTGGAGTAGTCTAGGAGTACATGCCGGCTCAACCGTGCACTCTCAACTAGAAGGATGTACTGCTAGGGTCTCGTCGGAATAGTGAAGCCACGCAAGATACGTCCCATGCACACAAACAGGCAGAACTGGGCCTTCTAAATCGCACTATCCCCTAGGACTCCTCCAAGATATTTTTCACACTTGGAGGGCCGTCCCTAACGATGTACTCCATATCGTATCCTGTCACATAAATGCATATGATTCATGTCACACATCCACAAACTCATGGACTCAACATTTTACTTGTCAAGAAATTTCATGTCTCTTGTCACTTGTTCACATTTCACATTTCACATTTCTCATAATCATACTCATAAGATCATCATTTGGAGATTCATGTCCTTATCATGCTCATAAAACACATCACATACGCTAACACAGTACTAAGGCAATTTTCTGAACCTACCTCCTTATCTCCCTTGTTTCATTTATCATTTTAAGCTTTAACAAGTCACCCTTCTCCTCAATCCTTCCAATTTCGGGGTTCCATTCACAACCTAAATGTGAGGGTTTTAATTGACACTAGCAGCTCCCACAATATCCTCCAACCCAGATTGGCATCCCACCTCCAACTACCCATTACACACTACAAGAAAAATCAGCATTATAATGCTGAAAATCCGTAGGTAACTGTTAATTACCTACGGAAAAAAATCCGTAGGTAATAAGCTCGTAGGTAACGTTACCTACAGAATTTTCTGTAGGTAAAGTTACCTACGAAATTTTCCGTAGGTAACGTTACCTACTCACATTTCACATTTCTCATAATCATACTCATAAGATCATCATTTGGAGATTCATGTCCTTATCATGCTCATAAAACACATCACATACGCTAACACAGTACTAAGGTATGTTTTATGTCTTATTTGAAGGTGCAAATTGTGTGAAAATTGCCTTAGTACTGTGTTAGCGTATGTGATGTGTTTTATGAGCATGATAAGGACATGAATCTCCAAATGATGATCTTATGAGTATGATTATGAGAAATGTGAAATGTGAAATGTGAATAAGTGACATGAGACATGAAATTTCTTGACATGTAAAATGTTGAGTCCATGAGTTTTTGAATGTGTGACATGCATCATATGCATTTATGTGACAGGGTATGATATGGAGTACATCGTTAGGGAAGGTCCTCCAAGTGTGAAACATCTTGGAGGAGTCCTAAGGGATAACCCAGTTCTGCCCGTTTGTGTGCATGGAACGTATCTTGTGCGACTTCACTATCTCGACGAGACCCTAGAAGTACATCCTTCTAGTTGAGAGTGCACGGTTGAGCTGGCATGTACTCTTAGACTACTGCATGTATGTTGTTTCGGCAGCATACCACGTGATATGTGCATGTGATACTGATTGTGTATGTGTATTGTTTATATGTGATTGGTGTTTGTGACTTGTATTATGTTTGTTGTGTGTCTGCTGTTTAACCTTTATTTCGACACCAGAACTTGAGCGAGATGTTTCTCACTCTCTTGTTGTTCTTTGTCTGTGTTTAAATTGTGTTACAGGTGATCATCAGCATGAGGATGTTGGTGATAAGGCTTAGGCTTCAGTTGGGCGTGCTCTGATAGGATATGTGACATCGGGGCATAGTTAAGACTAGTTTAGGACTTTACTTTCTTTCTTTTGCTTTGAAAAATTTTTAACTTTATTTCTTCTGTAATTTCTGTAAGTGAAATATGATTATGATTTATCATGCAATGATGTCATGGACTCAACTCATAATGCATGCATGTGGGGTCAGTCACGTGTCTCATAATCACATATCACGTGGTATGTTGTCGAAGCAACATACCTGGAGTAGTCTAGGAGTACATGCCGGCTCAACCGTGCACTCTCAACTAGAAGGATGTACTGCTAGGGTCTCGTCGGAATAGTGAAGCCACGCAAGATACGTCCCATGCACACAAACAGGCAGAACTGGGCCTTCTAAATCGCACTATCCCCTAGGACTCCTCCAAGATATTTTTCACACTTGGAGGGCCGTCCCTAACGATGTACTCCATATCGTATCCTGTCACATAAATGCATATGATTCATGTCACACATCCACAAACTCATGGACTCAACATTTTACTTGTCAAGAAATTTCATGTCTCTTGTCACTTGTTCACATTTCACATTTCACATTTCTCATAATCATACTCATAAGATCATCATTTGGAGATTCATGTCCTTATCATGCTCATAAAACACATCACATACGCTAACACAGTACCAAGTCAATTTTCACACAATTTTCACTTTCAAACAAGACATAAAACATATAAAACAACACAGGGGTCACGCCCGACGTGCCCCAACTTGTGCGTGGCGCATTAGATGCCGCACCAAAGCGCCTGGCAAATTTAATATTGCGCTTAAAGCTGAGAATTCCGCCGGGCATAGCTTCACACACGCTCGACATGACTTTCTTGCGCCCGGTGCAACTTTCGTGAGCCTGGCTCAATTTTCTTAAGCTCGACTCAATTTTCCTGGGAAGCTATTAATTTGCGCTCGGCGCAAAGAACTGCGCTCGGTACCTTCAGTGCGAACCTACACTTAGTAATCAGACGATTTTTCACAACAAACATGTAATTATATAAATCAATCAGTAAAAATCCTCCAAATAACACCTAGAACATAAATTCATACTCCGTAGATAACTAAAAATTACCTACGGAAAAAATTTCGTAAATAATATTCCGTAGATAACTAAATATTACCTACGGAAAAAATTCCGTAGGTAATATTCCGTAGATAATAACAGTTTTTCTTGTAGTGACACCTATCCCTCACTTCTCTGTGATGGTGGGCAATGGACAACATATTGCTTGTACGGGGTTATGTGAGCAAGTTCCAATTACATTGCATGGTCATTCCTTTTCAGTTCCCCTTTATTTGATGTCAATAGAGGGTGCTGACGCAGTACTGGGTCTTGTTTGGCTACGTACCCTTGGACCTCTAACTGCTGATTTTTCTCCCCTTAGCCTATCTTTTACTCATAATGATGTGCCCATCACCATCAAGGCCGAACCTAACCACACCCCCACATTAGCCACGTTCCATCATTTTAACCTCATGCAACACCACAATGCGATTGCTTCATGCCATCTCATCTTCACCCACCGATGTAACAGCCCAAGCAACCCGCATGAGGATATTGTCCGCTTTGGCCCACGGCCGCACGGTTTTGCTCCACTAGAGCAGAACCTCCTTTTCTTTCTCCTTCTCTCTCTCTTACTTTCTCTCTCTATTTCTCCAGAATTTCCTTCTCTCTAGAATTCTAAATTTTCAAAACCTTAAGTCCCTATTTATAGAATTTTTGAAGTTACTATGCACTATGCACTATTCATTAAAATAATATTATAAATTACTATGCACTATGCACTATTCATTAAAATAATATTATAAATTATTATGCACTATTCATTATTATATTCAAATTTATTATAAAATTTGAACCCGCGTCCCTCGTGCAGCCGCCCTTCACTGTGCAATTGCATAGTGAAATACTATTCATACATACATATACGTAAATAGTAAAATACATATATATAAATAGTAAAATACGTATACGTAAATAGTAAAATACATAAATAAAATACTTATTCACATAATAAATACATAAAAAAAATATTTCTTTTCATTGAATAAAATTTGGGATGTTACAACCGACTTGATGACAATACCCACAACCCTGAACTCCATCTTCCCCCCACTTTAAACCCTGAAATTAAGACCCTCATATCCAACCATACCTCTATCTTCAATAAACCTACAGGCTTACCACCCATTCGTACTCATGACCATCATATTACTTTGCTTCCCAATACCCCACCTATTAATGTCAAACCTTACAGATACCCCCACACTCAAAAGGATGCCATGTCTCA